GCACCCCCGGTACCGGTCCGGACTGTCCGGGTCCAGTGATGTCCGGATCATCGGACAGTCCGGACCGGTCCAGACACTGGTCCGGAAGACAGTCTGGAAGTGTCTGGTGTCCAGGTCCGGGGTTACCATGGTAGAATGTCCGTTCGTGCATGTGAAGCTATTCGGACAACACAGTCCTCCCAAAAAAAAACAGGCCGTCGGGGAAGGGGAAGGAAAGGGGGGGAAGGGAAAGGAGGAGGGGAGGGAGGGGAGGGAGGGGAGGGAAAGGAGGGAGAGTAGGGAGGGGGAAAGACAGGAAGGGAAGGGGAGGAGAGAGAAAGGGAGTGAGGGATGGGGAAGGAGACAGGAAGATGGATGGAAGGAGCGAAGGTGCAAGGAAAAGGATACGCTGCTGCCAGTACGTGACCAGTGCAGCTCCAGGATAGACTTGTGCATATGAGCGATTCGATTCCAGGCTTTGCCATGCTCTTGCCTGAGTTAGCAGTGGTCCTTGTACCACCCGGTCCAAATGGGCAAAGCACGTGAATACAATCCACAGTCCTCTCAGCTTCACTCTCTTCAGGCTCCAGACCTGTACACCCAACATAACATTCAAATGCAAAAGGCACAGCACAACCATAACATGCCAATGTCTCTCCACTTCATTCCACAAAGACGGAGAGAGATGTGGTTGGCGGGGAGTCCTGAGCATTACAACCATAGGCAATACTCCAGCAGGGGTTAGATTGTGGAAGGTCACTTCCAAGGCCCAAGTTCAGGTGCTGTTCACATTGCCTACCCCTATCACTTGTCTACCTGCCTGGAGAGTGCTGCTAGACTGATTGTTGTTAGATTGCTGTTAGATTTGCTATTAGATTGCTGTTAGATTGGCGTGAGATTGCCATAGATTGTTTTTTTAATTACTGTTCGATTGTTGTTCAATGGCGTTGATTGCTGTTTCGCTTATTGTTAGATTGATGCTAGATTGCTGCTTTCAGATTGCTGTTAGATTACCGCTCTCAGGTTGTCGTTGTTAGATTCGGGCTATTAGACCTAGCCCAGTAGGTACACCCATGAACTGTTGAATACAGACCTAAGTTTGAATCCAGATGCAACCATTTTGGATAGAATAGAATCATCTGAATTATCTGGGGTCAGTCAGTTCAATGATGATATCTCAATGCCATCGCCCTTTTTTTTTCTAACCAAAAAAAAAAGATTGCTGCTGTTAGAGTGTGGCTATCAGACTGTTGCTGTTCGATTGCTGTTGTTTGGCTGCTGCAGTTAGATTGTCGAAAGGTTGCTGTTAAATTGCTGCTGATGCCCTGATACGCTATCGGAGTCGAGATAAACAAATTTGAGGTACATGAATAAAGTTCAATAAACTGAACTTGATTGAGAATTGCCCAGTGAACCATAGGCAGAAAGGGAGAAAAGGAGAAAGAATAGTACGCCAATTGAAGTGGGCACGCAGCTGGTGTAGCGGACCCACCAGGTGTGGTGCTCCGCTAGTGACAGAGATGGAGATGGAGGAAGAAGAGGGAGCAAGTTGCCACAACGCAGCTCCCCACGCAAGACTCCAACGCACGTACTMCAAAATGTGCAAGTGATGAATGAGCTGAAAACAGACAATGGCTGGGGTATACCCCAGCGGACTGACGGGACTGGACTGGACTGGCTGGTACCGACAGAGGTACCGGCCTGGACTGGCCTACCCCGAATACAACACAGGCCTGTGAGAACAGGCCAAGGGGCTGGTCTCACAGGCCAACCCGAGGTCCGCTACACGATCCTC